TGAGCCACCAGCTTCATGCTCTGGTTGTCTGCTCTGGCTACTTGCCACCCCCTGCCTTCCTGCATAGGCGCCGCACAGGCTGATATGTCCCAGGCCCTGCAACCCCCTAGGGCTGGCTCTGCCTACCAGCACTACTGCACAGTAGCAATGAGATACTGCACAGTAGCATCTTGTGTAGACGCACTCATTATCCATAAAATTATCCTGCCCGCAACCCCACAATTATATTTGGGAGAGTGAGCCAGCATCTCCTCTCAGATGCTCTGCTCTGCTCTCCTCTTCCTCCCACTTCTTCAAAAGTGGCAAGACAATCCATCCTGCAGAGGGCAAATCTCCCCGCTGCTACAAATACTGGCCTAAATCTTTAATGCTGGAGGCTGCAAATGAGGGAGAAACAGTGGAAAAAACCCCAGTAATACCCAGATCACACTTCCTTTTTAGCATCTCTTCTCTGCCGCTGCATGACACAGGATACTGGGTAGGATGGACCTACTGCCTGACCCAGCCGGTAAATGGCAGTTTTTATGTTTTATGTACAATTTCATTCCCTTCATTCTTTACATATCAGTGCATGAGCACTGCAGAATTTAGCTCGTGATGTGAGGCTGCATCAATTCTTGCAAGGAAAACAGCAGTTTTAATTATACTTGCCCCAACCAAATTCACTTAATTTGCATGGATTGGTGCTCTTGTAAATATTTCTGTCATGCAATATTCTGCTGCTTCCGGGAGACACAAGAAATACTGCAGGATACAGGACAAAATTAGATGTTGTTTGTGTACATTTCTGGACCAGATTAAAACTGTTCATAATACTCATTAAATGAAATATGTCGTTGCAAGGTACTTAGATGGAATGGTTTATTTAGCCATGAGTCTGCCACATTACCAATAATTAGAATTCAGTTTTCATAAAGAAAAGACAGAGAGACAAAAGAAAAAGAGTTCCCAGCGATATTTTCAAGCTGAATCATATCAACATATTTAAAGAGTAGAAACGAGATTCAGTTCCCCCCCCCACAGGCAAAAATTATTTAAAAAAATGGGAAAAAATGAGTCATCTGAATTTAATTACCAGGCTCCGGGTACAGAAGGCTAGCTTTGAAAAGTGAAATGTAAATAGGAATCTTTGTAATTTTGCTTATGGGGCTGAAAAGTTTATTTCTTAAGAAGACTAAACTGGGTCCTGCAAACTGGTTGGAATTTATGTGCATGTCAGGAAGGCACTAGGAGGGCCAGACGCGTGGTGTAGGAAGCAGCTTCTGCCATGGATAGTAAGTCTGCCCATGCCCTGTGTTTCACTCACCCATGCAGTGCTACCATAGTGGCTGATCCACCTAAGAACTTCCTGCTAATCGCCCATCGCATTAGTTTTTCATTGCAGAACAATTACAGGGAAGAAAGTCACATGTTATGAGCCACTTATGACCTATCTGGAGGACACCAGCAGAGCAGAGGTGTTATGGCTAAATAAAGACAGTCAAAAAGCCTGAGGCTGAATTGATTCAATCTTTGCAGGTTAGTCTAAGTTGCACTGATTGAACCAACAAGCAAGTGAGCAGACATTCACTTTTGATTCTGGAAATGCAGCCACATGCCTGCAGCAGCCCAGGCCAAAATCTGGGAGACGCTAGAGCTTGCCTCTGCTGGAGCAGACAGCTTGGGCAAAGGCTAGCCCAGCCACCCTACAAGAAGGGGTTTGCAGGGGAGGTGCAAAGCATCCTGGGATGCTGGGGGAACTGTTAGTTAACTTGAATCTGGAGTGGATCTAGGACACAAATTCAATGAACCGATTTAACCTAAATCAGCGGAGTCTGATACTACATCCATCCAGGTTTATCTTAAACTGGTTTTGGACATTTTGAAAGCAGTTTATATGGACTGAGCTCCTGTTGTGTTACAGATCTGAATTGGTTTCCAATCCCTTACACTGGTTTATGTGTAATTTCTGTCCGTAGCCTATGTGAGCCTTTGTCACAGGGTTGAACTTCACTCTTAAGGAAGTATATTTTGGGACAACATTTTCCAAAAGCAAGTTTCATTCGCAAAAGGAACCAAAGCCCTTGGAAATACAGCACTGAAAGTCAGCAGCACTTAAACTCCTAAATTAGCTGGCTGGTTTCAAACTTTCTACCTAGTGTTTATTAATGCCCTCAATGTTAATATTTGGTTTTTACTCAGGTTTCCTTAAATGAGCATCATTTCCTTTTCCACAGGCTTCCAAGAGGCCTTACCGACACCCACGGGCTGAAGACTGCTTGCCTTTTATCCAACTGCTTCGAGCCCTACTGTACACACCACAGCCCATTGATCCTTACTGCAGTGCATAATAGCTAAGAAGTAATGGTGCCCTAAAATATTAATGCACGCTGATAAAAACAGTTTGCTCATAAAACAGCAACATCTAATTTTCAAAGGAGTCCAGGGAACAGTAAACAACTGGTATATGGTTTGGAAGCCGCTTCATATTACTAGATCCCGCACACTTAAATCTTATTCCCTCATAATTGCTGGGCAAATATAAATTACTTAAATGAATGTTATTTGCAGCAGTGGCAAAAGCCTTGTAAATAATCATAATTTAATCTTACAGCCAGTAATCCCAAGTGACTCCTTCACTTGTTTCCAAGGTTTAATTCTTCCTCTTCTTGAGGCAGGCTGGGGTCTAAGAGACCATCTAGCAGCAGCAGGAAGTTGAGTGTGATGTTGAGGGTGTGCAGAAAGCAGAGGATCACAGTGCCTGATGCTATGGAGATACCCATTTCCCTACAGGAGCTGAAGGGATTTTAGTGCTGCAAAGGACCCAGCTGGGAGTGACAGCTCGGGTGAGCTAGTGTGACCCTTTGTCTATTGTAATGATGTTCCTCGCATCACTCCCCTTGACATCTTTTCCAGCCTCCCCTTCCGCAGCTGCAGGGGTGATGTTTTGCCATTAAGAACCTTTCAACTAGTATCAAAATGCTACCTCCTTCGTTTCAGCTCCTGTCCTAACCAGCTGCTCCTGAGACTGGATGCACCTCATGACTTCTGTCGTTGTCAATCAAACACGCTTTCCCAAGCACTACATTCGCAAGCACAAGATAACAATGCTGCAAAAAATGTCTTCCACTTGTTAAGCAGGTTACTTCTCTCCGCTCATCCTTCCATTGTAAAAGATCTGTTAGGCTGTCTCTACTACTACTAGCCAGTTCAAGCGTTCCCTTATTTTGGCAGGACTTCGTTCACATCTGTGTACCGATTCCCTCTGTGGCACGTACACATTTCCCATCCCTGTGCCCTTCCACCACTTTAACTGCTGAGAATTATTTGCATCCAAAATAAAAGAATCAGGGATCTAAGAATACAGGAAGAGCATATTATGTCCTCTGCCTGGGTAAACTTGGTTATTCCCTCTTTCTAGGAGGATCACACAACCTGTTTCTTATTTGATCCTTGGTAAGAAGACAGAGGTATGATGAGTAAGCTGGCACGAAACATATGCACGCACGCACACATGCGCCCTCCACCACGACCGAGGAAACCTGCAGAGACTAGATCTCTTTGCCAGGGCCCAAACCCTGGGATCTTCCCCCTCTTATGTAGACTTCTCTCTCAGAGGCATGAACTTGCCCCTCCAAACCAAGCCTCTTCTTCATTTACAGTAAATTCCCTTGATCCTTAACTGATCACTTTTGCTCCAATACACAACACGGCTGCTTTCCTATCACCCATTTCAGTTATTCTTTTAGTCCTCCTCTTCCTTAACTATGCTTATTTTTCTCTTTATAAGTCATTCGTGAAAAGGAATGCCAAATCAATTAATTTATATATATGTAACTACTCCCCCCACCCTCCATGCACCCATTTTCAAGCTACATTAAAGATAACTATAGAAAACAGAAGACCGATCTCAACCCAAATTACTGAAAAAATGTGGGTGTTTGGATCCCTGGAGTTAATTCAGAACATTTCAAGAGCCCCAGAATTGGGGCTTAGGAAGTTAGGAGGTAAGACAATCTGGGATTTCGGGGACTTTCACCTGGGTTCATCTCTATTTGCATGCCAGACGGTGAAATGATGGGCTGCCTCCTCTCTAATTTTCATTCCCTTCCACTAAGTAGCAAGGGAATATAAAATGAAACCAAAGTCTCAGTAGACCCAAGTTTCGGCAAAACATTATTAATAATCAAACACAAGCTTCTTTATAACTTCTGAAACCATGGAACAAAGAATCAACCTTGTCAAATCCCCATGGGGCGTCCTCTAATACTTTTGGAGTTTCTGTTTTGCTGGATGCTCCATGTTCAAAAGGCAGTTGTCAAAGTACACGCTCCCTCTTTCCCTGGTGACACCATTGCCCTGACCACGGTGGCATTACTGGTAGATTGAGGAACTTGACCGAACTGGACATGACTACAGAGGAATACATTCCTCACCAATAAAAGGTGCCCCTTTTCCTGAAAGCATGCATATTTATGTAGCAGTCAGGCTAAAAACTTAGTAGAACGAGAGAACAGGAATATTTAATTTTTCTCTGCAGCCTCCTGTACACAGAACAAACCAAACTGCAGCATATCTGCCACAGGTCCAGTGACAATAAAGTTAACTGGCTGACAATGTATTTAGCCATAATCAGACAACATGTTCAGAAAAGAGAGCATCAAGGCCGCTGTTGTCCAGGTTTTATTATTTCGGTGACCCAAAGACACACCACAGAACCCTTTTTTCTCTGGGCATGCTGCAAAAATACAGGCACTTACCACAGTAAGTGCAACAGGCACTAATCATAGTAAGTCTTAAGCAAGAAATTGGGACAGGGAACCCACATGTAAAATGTGTCATGATTATGGATTAGGGAAAAAAAAAATCTTCAGCTCCTGGAAGTGTCATCATGCTATTTGCTCAGGCACAAATCAAAGTGCACACAAGCTATCCCATGAATATTTAACTTCACAGCTGAAATTCTATGTGCACAGATTTAATTAGATACAAGTGTGTAAAAAAAAATGCAAATCACTGACCAGAGTGATGATCCCTCCGTTCCAGTGACTTCTAAAAAGTCATATCCATCTTCTAACTGGAAATCCATGAAAACCAAGGCAATGGTGTCTCCAGGCTCCGCTAGAATAGTCCACGTACAGTCTGCATTGTTGCTGTACTCTGATGGAAAATGAGGGCTTGAGATAATTCCACTCTGTCCCCGTAATGTCCCTCCACAAGCATCATCAGCTGAAAGGTAGAAAACACACATAATGAGCCTTTTGCTGGAAGGGGAGCAGAAAACAATTGTGCCAGCAAGGAGCTGAAGCAACAGGGTCTTTGGTTTTTGTTCTTCCCTGTAATATGTTAAAGCTTTCAGGAGGAACAAAAAGTGATTCATATGCCACGTTTGAGATGACAGGAAAATTATGATCGATATTCTCTCCCAAATCCAAAGGGGGACAAGACAGTTTAAAAAAAAAAGGGGGGGTCATTGATTGGTACATAATGACAACTCACCACAGGCAGCAGAAAAAGGAATAAATCAAACAACAAGCACTGTACAAAGGATAATACCAGATTAACAGCAGATTGGCAAAAGCAAGTCTGAACAATTAAAGCTGATATATATTGGTTATATTAGACAGATGCATATTGGTTTATTTTTAATTTTCTCACAGCTCTATCCTTGTACTGGCATTTGATCAAAGAAATCACACAACTCCCATTGCACACGCAGAGAAGCATCACCCAAAGACAAGGAGATGAGTTGCTATACACGTGTCACGTCCAAGGCTCGCAGTCTGCCCCCACACGGAGCAATCCTGCAGATGCCATATTCTGGCATGACCTTTGCAGGTGATGGGGAAGAAGCACAGAAAGAGGAAAGTATTACTTTGGTGTTATACCCAGCTCTTCCTTTCAAGCCACCAGAAGATGGTTCCTGATGCGGGAATGTTAGGAAAGCGAGCACTGGTCACATTTTACGGCATCCCCCACCCCATCTCGAAGCTCCTAAGAGAAGCCAGTGTTACTGCAGACAGCCCTGTAGATGCCCAGTTGCTGTGGACAGGCGGTATTTTGTTGATTTTAGAGAAGCAAGGCTGATTTGCATTAGTGGAGTGTCTGGCCTGTTGCAGGTCTTTCCCAACAAGGGACCTGTTACACCGCTCCGATGATGATAGGGTAACTGTGTAAGAATAAACTTCACGTTTCTTTTTGCGTCATTGGCCCCTAGCTTAGGCAGGTGGAATACAGGGCTATTGATCTAGGTATCTATGCAGCAAAGAGGACCCCGCATGGCATCTGCCCCTGCGTGCACTGCAATCAAAATATATGATGGAGCACAAGACTTTACAAAGGAAAATGATTATAATACAATCAAACACTTCATTTAACTTAGGGGTGAGCAAAATACGGCCCATGGGCTGGATCCAGACTGCCAGCTGACTGCATTTGGCCCATGGGCAGGTGCCTGCCAAGTGAATGGATCTGGCCTGTGGATGGGTGGTGGCTCTGGCAACTGCATGCTGCCAAGCAACCAGGGCTGCTTCTGGTGTGCTGGGTGCTCTCTCTCTCTCTAGGCTGGGACTGCCACCAGCATGCACGCATGAACCCGCCTGAAGCTGTAGCATGACCCTCTGCACACCCCCACCCTGCCCCCAAGTCCAGATCTGGCAGCTGCTGACCACATCCACAGCTGCCCAAATGTGGCCAGCAGCTTCCAGGTTGGGGCTCTGGGCATGGGGTGTGCAACAGCTCTAAGTAGGTTCAGACAGCTGTAGCACACCCCACCCCTGAGGCAGTGGGACGTGCTAAAACTGCAGGCAGGTGGACTGTGGGGGCAATGGGGGGCATGCTAAAGCTACAGGTGGGTTCAGGTTTTCATACTGGTCACAGCCCCAGGAGGGAGGGATGGGGAGGGGGAGAGAGACATGGCTCTCGGTAGGTCACCGAAACTCATTAAGGAGCCCAGCCCAAATAATTGCCCACCCACGATTTAAATTGCACAGCCAACTAATAGCAGGTAAGACACGCACTGAAAACCTGGAGGCATCCTGACACCATGCGAGTGGGCTCATGATAAGATCATATAGATCACAACCTTTTTCTAAGTGAAGAGTCTAAGCCCAGTCTAAGCCCAGAGGTAAAAAGACAAATGAGAAACATTTAAAGGGGCAAAGCAAAGAAAGGACCGGGGTTACAACAACATACATTTTTGGAATTTCACTGCTTAGTCATGCACGCTGCCAAGGTTTCCGAGTTGTTTTAGACATTTGTACATTTGGTTGGTTAAACCCTTTAAAACCCATCTGCCTTTTACCTCTTGGGTTATTGTCTGCAACACTCTAGTATCAGAACTGACATTAGGAGTGGTCTTATAGGTCTTGTAGGAGTCTTGTGCTAAATCTTCTATATTTTCTGTGCCTCTGGCACTTCCCAGATTCTGAAAGTGGCTCAGCATCCATTAAGGGAAAGGTTGGGGTGCGGAGGTCTTTCAGTTTTTAGGACAGATGCTAAAAATTGTCACTAGAAGCCTAATTTTAAGGAGGAGCCAGGACTTTGTTGGCTTAGTTGGTTGCAACATCTTGGCCATATGTGTGAGTCTCCCCAGATTTAAAAGCCTCTTGCAACTTTAACTGTAGTCTTGCTACAATTCAGCTAGTGTGACATGCCCACACATACCGCACACATAAGCACTGGTGTACACGGCCATCAGGAATTACGTAACCGTCCGGTGGCCCCGATCCCGCTAGTCCACTCAACTGGGTCGACCCTTACAGGCACGTGAAATCCGGCAGGAAAGCCACTGAGGTCAGCCTGAGCACAGGGACCTGCCTGCAAAAAGTCCGTTTCAGGGCAAGAGCGACTGGCTGGAAAGGGCTAAAACAAGAGGCAACTCTGTGACTCAGAGCACAGTTGACTGGGTTTCATGCTGCGATGCTAACTATGTAGAGCCCTGTAAGAATTATTGGGGGAACATTGCACTTAAAGTCATATTTCATGGTTATGCTAAAGCCATTAAAATACAGCCTTCAGGTGACATCATAGCCATGAATTATTAATCAGTTCTGTTTTAGCAGCTGGCAGTGGAAACTGTGCTATGCCTATTAAGAAACATAGATGTTGAGGGAAGCAAAGCCGTATTAGGTCATTCAGTCCATCTCCCTGTGAGTGGAGGCTTATTCTGTACTGGGCATTTACTAATGATGTGTTTAGTCTAATTTTAAACATTACAAGTGGCAGAGGTGCTACCACTTCCCTGGGGAAGTGCTTCCATAGCCTAATGCATCTTACTGTCACGGGGGAAAAAAAACAAAACCCTTCTTGACATTTTGTGCCTAAGTTCTCTCTGTAAATCCCATCCTTTACTCCTAAATTATAATCCCCTTAGATAACCTCCTTAGCTTCTTCTCCCTCCTTGCTGTCTTCAAAGGACAGAGAAACCACAGGCAGTTCAAAGATATTTTTTTCCTCCTTCCCCTGCCAACTGAGTCCTTGTTTTCCTCAAAGGGACTTGTTTCAAATAGACAAAAAGTTTCCAGCCCGAAGCAAGTTGTTGGCCAAGCCTATAGGGCAGAGAGGTGCTCAAGAGCTGGCGTAAGTCGGCACACCAGGCACAGCACAAATGCTGCTCTAATTCATTACAACCATTTCCGCCTCTCTGCTTCCACTTGCAGCCTGCTTTTCCACTCTGCCTGCTGTCTGCTTCCGAATTCCTTCATCTGCATCTCTCTCCTCCCAACACAATCTCTCCTAAGCAGAATGCAAATGTCATGGAGTTTATGCTACAGTTAAAATGCTAAACCCACATTCAAGCTGAAAATTAAGCAAAAATAATTCTGCTTTTTTTTTTTTTTTTCCACTTTTCAAACTTCTCTTCCCTTCCATTTCCTTAATGAGCTTCAGGTTTTGATGCTTAAAAGGCAGTCATCCTTAAGAAACCAAGCTGACTTGTCATTAAAGCTCAAGACATTTCCAAACAAGAAATAGGATCTGCTATTTGTTACAGGCACCTTCTTTTCCAACTAAGCCTCAGGTTAAATAATAATAATAATAATAATTAAAAAAAATCTCAAGAGCCTAAATAACTTAAGAGCCTAAGCCTTATTTTCAAAAGTGACTTGTGTATGTTCAAGCCTAAGCTCCTTTAGCTCTCAACAGGTCTTTGGTTCCAAAGCCAGTATTGAAAATGAACGTGGGAGCTTCTGAAAAAATTTACCCTTAACTACCTGATATATACTTAGGATTACGGGTGAAATTTTCAATGATGCATAGGGGAAAGTGGTCATCAAAATCTCTTAAAATTAATTAAATATGTGTGTTCCATGCACTCCTAAGACCTTTACTTTTATAACAGTTGCTTCTCCACAGGTAGCTAGCATGGGCATGCACGACGTGTGCTCAAGACTGATTTTTTTTTCTTGATTAGCAATATTGTCAGTGCCACAAAAGACTCCTGCTCCATGTAAGGGCATGAAGGGTAGGGTTGACAGTCCCGTTGCAATTTAAAGGACAGGGTGCTGAGGACTTCTGAAAAGCAGGGAGGGAGGGTGCACACCAGATTTACGCTCCCTACAGTACTTCTAAGACCATAGTTATTATAGGGCAGGGGGTGTCAAACATTTGGTCCGTGAGCCAGATCCAACCCCCAGAGCCATTCTAGGCAGCCCACCAGGACGATAGGAGTTAGGGGCATGACTGGGAGACATAGTTTGCTGCAGTTTTCAGGCCTCCAAAGCCCCTCTGGACATGGCCATCAGCAGCACACGGAGTAAGTGAGGGGTCCACTTACCCTGAAGATGTTTGGCCCCACTGCCACCAGATCCCTGCTGCTGCCACCACCGGAGCCCCGCCACCATTACCAAACCATCCTGCCTGGAAGGAGCCCTGTAATCAGGATCCAGCCGGGGCGTGATTTGGACATCTCTGCTCTATTCCCTGTATATGTGCCATTACGGATCCACTTGTGGGTGACCAGTAAGAAGCATATGCCTTGGACGGCAGCATGAGATGCTTCATCTTTAGTCAAGCAGTTGCTGAAGTACTGCTCTCCCGTCCTTGCTGTCTAATCTGTGTAGAACAACAATGCTGAGGTCCCACATGGGAGTTGGATTAGAGGGCAAATACGAACAACTTCCCTTGAGGAATTTCGTGGCTGGATCATGGAAGGATGATCTGGTGTGACCGAACTGGGGCATGACCCATTAACGTTGCGGCAAGGTGGATTTTAAAGGAATGAGATGTCC